TAATCACACAGATCCTCAACTGGCCCCCCTCTCCCTCCCTTTTTTTTTTGCTTGATCAGGGACCGCTACTACCAATTGATCGACGCGGTGGTGAATCAGATTGTGCTGGATCGCAAGGGCATGCCCAATGACTTTTCGTCCACCTATGGCATCACCGTCGACGAGCTGATGAAAAAGTTTGAAGAGAATGACAAGCTGGAATTGGCACAAAAGGAAGCCACGGATGCGCGCGAGCGAGCTGCCGAGGCTCAGGAGCGCGAGTTGCAGCTACGCGAACAGGTCGATCTCAAAGCAGGTAAAAAAAAAAAAAAAAAAGCGAAGAATCAAAAAAAACTGGGACGACTGACTCATCTCCCCCCTCTCCTATTTAGGCGGGCTCGTCGGCCAGCTCAAGGTGAAAAACGAGTCGCTGGAGAGGACGCTGCGCATTGCGAATCAAACCAACACGATGCTGCAGCAGCGATTGAGCGATCTGGAGCTGGAATACCAACACACGCTTGATGCGATGGATTCACAGGCGCGACGTCTGTACGACACGCTGCGGCAGCTGACCGAGTACGGGTCGCCCACCACGCCCAAGCGGCATCGCCTTCGTGGCGGCGCCAATGGCAAAAAGCACCGTGGCACCGAAGACATTAGCAAGCTGCGCCGCAATTCCGCCCTGCCGGCGCTCACCATCCCCGCCTACAGCAGCACAGATACCCGCCAGACCTCGCCGCCGCCACAGCAGCAGCACCATCAGCAGCAGCAACAGCAGCAGCAGTCTCCGCCCCCATCCGCCACGCAGCAAGCAAAACAATTGCAACGCATGTCATTGCCGGCCCCAGCGCCATCGTCGGCGCCCCTCGCATCCCCCACCCTCATCTCGGACTCGTTTAAACAATCGCTGCGCTCACGCATTGAGACCGTCAGCAGCTTTGTCCGCCGATCCACCTCCCATGACGCAAAAAAAAAGAAGTCCCAGGCATCTTCGCCAGCAACCTCGGTTTCCGCATCGCCCGTGTCCCCCTCTCCAAAGCGCTCTTCCTTTGGCATCAAATCCCCATGGGCTTCCAATCCTTCCATTGTCAATCCTTCCAATGACGACAACGATGATCCCAATGCCATCTTTTCGCCATCATCACCCACGCCATCCGCCTTGCTCATCTCCCCCTTTGAATCCAACATTACTCTCCCGAGTCTTGCTGACCACCAGGACACTGAAAACGTCACATCGATCCCACCAGCGCCGCCTCCACCGCCAATTCCACGTAAGAATGGGAAAATAGTAAAGTCAACCGTACTCATGTTTTTCTTTTACATAGAATCCGTGGTCCGTGCAATGACAAATCACGTGAATCACGACGAGCATTTTTGTCTTTTGACGGCCGACGGTCCTTTTCCAACGGCGCCATTGCCGGCGTCATCTTTTGCGCCGCCACCTTCAGCTCCTCCACCTCCTCCACCACCACCACCTCCTCCTCCTCCTCCGCCACCACCACCACCATCATTTGGTTCCTTTGCACCCCCGCCACCTCCCCCTCCACCACCTCCACCTCCATTGCCTCCGTCTGTCGCATTTGATCTTGCTTCATCCACATCCGATTCGACGGCCACAACGAGCGGCACACTCACACCAACGCCGCCTGCGCCACCCCCGCCGTTCCTCGGCATGATCCTGCGCAAGCCCAGCTCGTTCCAGGCAAAACAAAAGCTCAAATTCGTCGAATGGGAGAAATTGAATCAAATCAAAATCAACACCACCCTGTGGCAGCAACTCGACAAGGACCTGAGTGTCGAGTCGACCGAGGCCCTGGACCAGCAGGTCGAGCTGCAATTGGCACAGGCAGGCGTCTTTGAGGACGTCGAGCGCGTCTTTGCCCAAAAGCCCGCCTTGCAATTGCCTCATCTGCGCCAAAAACACAAGGTGCATGCCCTGGATACCAAAAAAGCCAACAATCTGAGTAAGACCGCCCAAAGCCATGGATCTAAAAAAAACACTCATCTTGGGTTTTAGACATTTTTATTACGAGCATCACGAAAAAAATCCCCTTTGACAGCATCCCGCCGCGATTGATCAGCATGGACGCCTATTTTGATGATGAGCGCGTGCTGACCAACCTCATAAAGTTTGTGCCAACGCCCGAAGAGTGCGGCAAGCTCTCCACCTATCTCACCGCGTCACCCGCAGAGCTGCTCGATCTCTCCGTACCCGACAAGTTTTGTCTCGAGGTAAACCTATTGCCGTCCAGCGTGACCTATGCCATCAACATGGCCTATGCCGTCCACGTGCACGCGTTCCCATTTTTATTCACCGTTCTCTCCCTGTAGATGATGAAAATCGCGCGCATCAAGGATCGATTGGAGTGCATGCTCTTTAAAACCAACTTTTGGGACCGATACAAGACCCTGCACCAACAAATGACCGCCGTGTACGACGCGTCGCTCTCGCTGCGCAATGCCACGCATTTCAAACGCCTGTTGCACGTACGTCGCCACACACACACTCACAAAACAACAACAACAATCGCTTTTTTTTTTTGACGCCTGTTTTTATTTTTAGGTCATTCTCTTGCTCGGCAACTTTTTAAACGGCCAAACATATCGTGGTGGTGCCTTTGGCTATCGCATTGCAAGCGTCAACAAGGTATTTGTGTTGGTTTTAAAAGCAAAAATGAACCTGACGCGCTATTTTTTTTTTCAAGTTGGTGGACACCAAAGGCGCAACAAACACAGTGACACTGCTTCATTTCCTTGTCGAGACGGTCGAACAACACTTTCCAGAGCTGACCAACTTTTTGGAGGAACTCGAGGACTGCAGCCGAGCCTACAAAGGTAAACCAGAAAAAAAAAGCGCGCATTAACACGGTGCTGACGCGATTGACACGGTGCGGGCGCTCATTGATACGGTGCTGACGCGATTTTTTGACGTGACAGTGACGCGCGCCGAGATGAACAATGAATTCCAGGAGCTGGAACAGGGCCTGCAAATGCTGGAACAGGAATTGAACCACCACACAGTGTCCTCCACGTCTTACGATCAATTTGGCTTTGTCATGGACACGTTCTACCAAAAGGCCACCAATGAATTCAAGCGAATGTACCTGCTCCGCGACAAAATGACAGAACATTATGCATCCGTCGTCCACTACTATGGCGAGGACCCCGCCGTCATGCCCCCCGATGACTTTTTTGCCATTTTCAAAACATTCACCACCAGCTGGGAGGTATGCTTTTAAAAAGCAAACATTCAATCGTCTCAATTCACCTGGTTTTTTTTCGCCTTAGAAATGCTCCATGGATGCGCGATTGGCGCGCGAAAAGGAGGAACAATTGGAAAAACAAAAGCTGCGCGAGCACGAGCGCCGCACAAGGGTCCGCAGCGGCTCGTTTGCAAAGTTCAAGGGCGTCGATACCAACGAGAGTAAAAACAGGACAAAATGCAACCATTGGACCCAAAAACACTCACTTTTTTTCTCTCTCTCCCTCGCACCAGTCGCCAGCACGGACCAAGACAAATCCATCATGGACAGCCTCATGGAAAAGCTGCGCACGGGCACGCTCGAGTCCAAGACGCGTCGCCGCAACGAACGCGCGCGACGCCAGCGATCCGTCAGCATTCAATCGCTGCAGGCCGAGGCCATCTCACTGCGCGCACAGCGCATGCTGTCGTCCATCCAGAGCGAAAGCGATTGGACAGCCTCGTCCACAACCACGCCCGTCACGCCCAATTACCCAATCAACTCGATTTCCTCCTTGCCACCCCTCGACACCTCCAGCCCCGCCCCACCTCTCACACCAATGACGCCAACAGCTACACCAACAACGTACCCAACCCCATCCACGCCCCAGTACCACCAACATCATCATCTGCATCACCATCCTTCCCTCTCGCATCGCCCCCTCTCCGTCCATGCAACACACCAGCATCACACACGCTCCTTCCCGCGCAAAGACCTGCGATTGAACATAAAACACCCGACAGACGTCGACGCAGGCCCCGCATCCGCTCCCCTAAAGGCTCCCGTCGACTTTGACATTCTGCCCCCCGGGTCTGCACCAGTGGTAAAATTAGAAAAGAAAAGTAGAAATGGACCCCTTTTTCTCACCCATTTTTTTTTTTTTTAACAACAGCCCAATCCAACCACCCATGTGCTCTTGCCAACAGCAAGCCAGCGCTCAAATTCACAGTCAACGCGCCTTGTCCGCACACGAAAGACAAGCAAGCGACCAATGATGTTTGATCGCTCCATCCGCAACATGACGCGACGCGCAACCGTCAGCAAAGGCAGCGCCATTGACGAATGAGCCCATCAACACGGTTGTTTTATTCCAGATTTTTATGATTCCCCATCACGTATCATCCTTTTATCTCTCATCGTTTATCTCTTTATGCTTCTATGCTTACTAAATTCCTATTTGAGCCAATTGAAAGCCCCCGCGCAACCTGGAGACACAACATGCTTCATGCCGCAAATGGCCAAAAAGCGTTTTGGGCCTGCCCGCGCTTGACCGCTGGCGAGGAAGGAAAAAAAAAGAAAGAAAAAAAAAAAGAGGTGAATCCATCGCGCATACCCTTTCAAAATTCCTAGCTGCCTGCCGGTGTAAAAAGGCCACACTCCAGTTCCCTCGCATGCCAAGATCGTCGTCATGACGCGTGAAGAACAACGGAAAACGGACAAAATGTTAAAATGTTATATTTCATTCATGCCCACCCCAATTGTCGCTCAAACGGGCCCATGTGAGAGCTCGGCCCCAAGCGCATACGAGTCCCCACACACCGTGACCCCGATGCCTTTGCACGCTGCGCCAAAAGTTTCTCACGTCAAACATAAAATAGTCACCCAACCGCTAAAATCCACAATTGCGCCACTTCCTCCTGCCCGATGCTCATGAAAATGAACCCATTCAGCACTCAAGAAGCTCCTCGTCTGACATATACAACGCCAAAGCAAAAACAAAACAAAGTAAAATAAAACAAAAAAAAATAATTTGAAAACGTATAATTTTCAAAAAATAATCTCTCTCAAGGGGGCTCGAACCCCTGACCTTCGGATTAAAAGTCCGACGCTCTACCGACTAAGCTATGAGAGACGCTTCTTGTCATCGAACGAGATTGTCTATCTATAAGGGGATTCAAAGTTTTTTGAGAAATTTAAAAAATGCAGCAAATTGTGCGATAGCTGAATGTCTGTCAGTTGGGCAGCTACCAATTAACACATGGGGGTGAAAAAAGTGGGGCACGATGGGTGCCGACCTTAATTCACGCGATAAAATAGGGTGACCCGGGCTATTACCAAAATAGGATGGTGCTTCATGCAAATCAGGGCGGCAACTTGTCAAGCAGTTGTCAATGCTTACGCCAGTCATGAACAGGTAATTTGGCAACATCACAGCACATGCGTTTGGCCATGAGACTTGCTACAGCTCTTGCAAGATGCTTGTGTCGAAATGGAACGAGAATCAATAGGACGCGATTCAATGGGACGCGACTCGACGGGTCATGACCATCCGTGAATGGGCCATGGAGATGACGCGCAATTCAACGATAAAAAGAAGCTGGCGGCTCATTGTCTTTTATTTGGAGTCCAATCAGTCCCCTCCCCCCCTTTTTTTTTTTTGTGTACGCCTTTATATTTCTCTCTCTCTTTTTTTCACACTCTTCCATTCTCTTTCCTTCCCTTTCTCACTTTGTTTCTCTCTCTGTTCCCGTAATGGTCGACAATCATCCTGTGTCAAGTCTCGTTTTGCAAAGATTGAAGGATAGCAAGCTGCCCGTGCCTCATGCGCCTGAAACGTTCCTGCGCAAGTTGGCGGAGCGCAAGGATCCCGAGTACCTGGATGGTCTGCTCATCTTTGCCGAAAATCAAGTCATTGTCGATGATGAGACGATGAAACGGCTGTTGACGCTGAAAGAGGTCAAGACGCGGAAGGACGAGCAATCCGACCCTGTGCTGGCGCTGGCTCCCATGTCTGGCCGCTGTTCATCCTATATTCGATCACTCCAATTTACCGCCAAAGAATTGGGCATGGTACTCGACGCGTACGAAAAGAAGTTTACGGATGGCACGTTTGTGCAGGATTGGCGTGACGAGCTGCTGGATCACGATGACGACGACCTCGTCTGGGTGCGATATGTCGGAATTACCAGTCGCTCGGCCCTGAAGCGTAAGATCGAGGACGACAAACCATCCAGCAGTCACAGACGCTACACCAACTTTTTGAGTGTCGTGGAATCCATTTTCCCTGGGCGCCGCTACACCAACAAGGTCTTTGACGTCCCACTGCTCGTGATCAACATGTATCCGGGGCCAGAGCGCAACGAGCTTGCAGACTCGACCGAGCAGTTTCTCATCCACCTGCTGGACCGACGTCTCCTGCTCAATTCGCAGCCTGGCGGCTATTATCGGTCCTTCCAGCCTGGAAAAGAGGATCTTTTGTGCATCAGACGCCTCGGCCTTGGCAACATTGTGCGCCCCCTTCTTGCTGACGACGAGTTTGAGCGCTTGAAAACGGCCATCACGGATATCTACAAAACGGAATGTCCCGCATTTGATCAAGATCGACATGCTGCTGTCCGTGATGTGACAGTCCGCCAGGTGCTCGGCGCGCACGGCAATGTTTCTCCCCGTCGCTCCCCTATGCTCATTGTTGGATTCCACATCACGCAAAACAACATGGACAAGGCGCTTTTTTTCTTCCAAAGCTCTCGCTCTGGTCATCTGTGCAAGAGTATGCTTGAATTGGTGCAAGGCATGGACGACGCCCATTTGCATGGCTTTGTGGATGTCTACCCGACGACAGACCGTGATCATTTGGCGCAAGAAATTGTTGCTCTCGCTCACGTCATCCAGCAAGTAAAGCCAGTCATCTTGACTTGCCTTGGCATGCTGCCTTCCTCTGTGGCTCTTTCAAACTTCCATGGCGTGTACGTGACAGGATAAAAAAAAAAGAAAGGAGACGCGTATTTTAAATCTCATTGCATTTTTTTTTTTTTTTTTAGACATGGCTTGACAGACGCCGGATTTGCCGAGAGCTTGGGTCGGCCTGTCCTGTGCAACGTTGATGCCAGCTTTGATTACAATGCTCCGGTTGGTAAAGAACCCAAAAATCTATGGTGTATTGCCATGCCCAGCCTTCACCCTGGCTTTGTTCGATTTGGCTCTGTCTCTCCCTACACCTTGCGGTATATGCTGCTCATCTGGACGCGCGTGCTGCTGCTGGAGAAGTGCGCCTCGGAGGTGCAGGCGTTGCCCGATTGTCCCTCCCTGATGTCCAAGGAGCTGTGTGAGCGCACTCTTGATCTTTGGAAGCAAAAAGAAGCCGAAACAGACCTCGGTGAGCGAATCAGCGACGCATTCAAGTTGTACCACGATGCGCACATTGATAAAAACAAAGGCAAGGCCAAAAAAAAAGGGGGGAAGGGGATCATTGACCAAAAAAAAAAAAAAAAAAAAAAAAAAAAAAAAAAAAAGCAAAACAAGCGACTGACCACACCTTTTTTTTTTTTACTGTGTAGCTCGTGGTGCCAAGATGACGTTTTCCGAGGAGAATTTGGCGTTGCGGTCGGCGATGGGCAAGCTGGGTGTTGCCAAGCGTGTTGCGGCGCTTGGACATGCGTTGGGGGGAAAAGATTCGCAAGAACGCCGGCAGCAGGCCGAGACGCTGTGGCGGTATGGCTACGCGGAGCTGCGCAATCTCCATGACAACAAGGCGTCGTTTGTGGATTGGATCATGTCCATGGAGCGCGGTCGCGACATTTTCCGCCGCGCGCTTTACGAGCACCAAGTGGCGCAGTTTGATCCGACGCCGACGCACACGAGCCGTCAGGTGAATGCGATTTCTCGCCTTGGTCCGCTCATTGGCTTGGAAAAGGGCGACCATTCGTTCCTCAAGGACCCCGAGCTTGTCAAGGCGGCGGCGTCGGCCAAGGGCAAGCAGATGGCGGCTGTGCACAAGCTGCGACGTCGCGCGGCGCCTACTGTGGTCAATGACAAAAAGGCGTTTGGGCTTTTTCTAGACGCGCTTGTCCATGTGGACACCAATCACCGCGCGAATCTTCGCGTGATTTGCGACGGCAAGGCGCGTGCGCTGCCCAATGGCATTTATACAAGCAGCGCAGTCAAGCCCGGTGATTATTTGCTGCACGTGGATCCGTCTGTCGATTGTCGCGCGGTGCTGCTCAAGAATGTGGATACAAACGAGTACGTGCACGACACAAAAGGCAAGCTCGTCAAGATCAAGGACACGGATTTGCTGCGCATCGGTCCCAAGACGTGCTTTTTGGTGTTCAAAAAGACGCTTGAGCATCTTGGCATCCCTCTTCATGACTCTGTTTCGCAGCCTGACGAGTGGCGCAAGGAGCGCGTTGCGCGTCTTTTTGCGCGTAAATACTGCAAGAGCGACAGCAAGACCATCTTTCACACCAAAAAGGGTGCTCCGCGTGCCAAAGGTGACCATTTCGCCACCGCGCTTAATGAGCTGACCAAGTCAATCAAGATGGTGCCTGCCGAAAAGGCTTTCTGGACGGATACGTATGGCATGGGCCTCCGGTGAGTAAAAAAAATTGATGGCAGTGGTGCTGATCTTTTTTTTTTTTTTTACGCGCAGTCGCATTCGTGCCGAGCTTGAAAAGGTGCTTGGCAAATTTGACACTGCCAACAAGGCGGGCGGCAACATCAATTGGATCATGCCCGCCTATGACCCGACCGGCGACGATGGCGATGACGATGGCGATGACGATGGCGATAGTGACGACATCCAATTGGAGCCAGTCGATGGCAACGACCAACAAGATGATGGCGACAACGTCCAAGCCGGCGGCAGCAGCTCGACTTGAAATGCAATTTGCTCATTTTTTTCTCTTGTTACACCCTATTGTACCTTTTTAATAAATAATTCATACTGTAGCGCATCCCTAATGGACGGATCGCCATCACCAACCCATCATATTTTGTTCGTCGTTCATGCGTTATTTTTGATTGAATTTGTCAAAAAAAAAAAAGATTTTTTATTTTTCTGGGCTTTCGGAAAGTGTCTGAGTCTGAGAATAGTTGTCAAAATGCTAACAGGGAATTCAGCGATACAGTATTCTTGTCAAAGATTTCTTTTAAATCATCGGAAAGTCGTGACAAATTGCGTACAGTAGAAAGAGATACAGTAGAGAAGAGGCCACAAGAACAACCCAAGCGAGGCGGCTAGTCATGGACTCCCCTGTCACAGCCCCAGTCTGCACAGCATTGTACATACCTATCTCTTCTAGCACCTGCCACCCAGCACATGTTTCCTTGCCAGTCTCCATTTGCCGTGTCACAACATTCTCTTGTTGCTTGACCTGTATAATGCTCCAAACTGCACATTTTTCCTGAGCTTCTGCATGTGGTGGCCAGAACACAGCTGATTAGCATTAAGCCTGCAACAACTTGCTTCAACATTTTTGTCCAAAAAACAGTTCACACCAAGAAAACGAGGCAAAAAACGCGTAAATAAAAAAAGAAACAAAAAAATAGGATAATAACCTTTGATCGTCATTAGTATTGCTACACTATTAAGCAAGAAGGATATGTATTTAGGTGGACTTACCACTGGCACACAGTAGTTTTTAGGATACGAGGCGGTGGTGCAAGCAAAGCAAAAGAAAAAAAAAAGAAAGAAAAGCAAAAGGAATGAAAAAAGGACTTGGAATGTGTAAAGAGTAAAAGGGATAGGATTAAATACGAATGTAATAAGAATGTGACCAGTAGTGAGGAAGAATGGGTTGGAATTTGATGTGCAATTGAATGGGAATTCAGTTCAAGGGCATACGGTACTTTAAAATAAAGAAAAAAATACCCACAAAAAAGCAGGCAGATTCGTGACAACACCAGACGTCCGGTACAGTAGACCAGGAGACTGGACCAGTATTTATGATAGAGCGTTTTGGCTACGTGCTTCTGAGCTTCTCGATATCTCGGAAACAAAAGTAAAACCTGGGTGGTGTTGATCAGTTCGTTCTCCGTTGACGAGAAAATCGATATTTTTCTAGAAATTTACAAATTCGTCCCTGTCGTGCTTGATGCACATTCGATCATGCTGAAAACTTGTTGCAAGTGGTG